CTTATGTGGCTGTTTTTCACACTTAACGACCACTTCAGCACCCCCCCGAGTCATAGGATCCAAATTCAGACACTTGGCAACTGACTCATACTTACGACAGGGTCACGGGATTCCCCCTTTGCGACCTTCTGACATAGTCAACAAAGAAGACAGATTCACATAACAACTTTGTCACTAACTTAACCAACCGCAGGGATTCACTTAACAACGGCGGCGAGAAAAGTCGTAAAATGGAGCAAAGCTCAACTTAACAGATGTCTCGCTTAGCAACAGAAATATCGGGGGCTCAATGGTGGCCGTAAGTCAAAGACGACCGTATAGGCTGGTTGCTGTATATTTACTCTTGTCCACGTTGCTGTGGTTCATATTTACACCGTTCTTTCACGCTGGTCCATGCAGATGTTTCCAGATGTTCGACTTCATACACCAGATGACCAGCAGACCCGAAGATATATTAATGGTAAGTTATTTTGAACCTGGGTCACGGGGCCTTTTAATGAGTAAAAGTCTCCTTTTTAAAAAAAAAGGGGCGCGGTGGCTAAAACGCTGAGCTTATGGACCAGAAAAGGTCGGCCGTTCAAGCGGTTCGAATCCCTGGCATAGCCGCGTCACGGAGTGAGCTCCCATGACTTGTCCCAGCAGCTCCTGCCAACCTAGCCGTTCAAAAGCACGTTAAAAAAAAATAAATGCAAGTAGAAAAACTTCTGGGAGTTGAAGTCCACCCATCTTAATGCTGCTAAGGTTCAAACACGCACACACACACACACACACACACACACACACACACGGGATGAGGCCGAGTGTAAGACCTTTCTTTAACTTTGCCTTAACTCTGGTGTGATAGCCCTCTCTGAATCCATCCGTGGTATGTATGTATGTATGCGTATATCTATCTATCTATCTATCTATCTATCTATCTATCTATCTATCTATCTATCTATAGTATCTGTCTATCTATCTATCTGTCTATCTATCTATCTATATCATCTATCTATATCTATCTATCTATCTTATCTATCATCTGTATCTATCTATATCATCTATCTATCTATATCTATCTATCTATCTATCTATCTATCTATCTATCTATCTATCTATCTATCTATCCATCCATCCATCCATCCATCCATCCATCCATCCATCCATGCACACACACATACATATACACACACACAAATATGTATATGTATGTGCGTATATGTGTGTGTATACACACACACACACAAATATAAATATTTTTTTTAGGTAACCAAAGATGTTATTCGGGAATTTGCTGCTGATGGAGTCAAATATCTCGAATTAAGGAGCACGCCCAGGGAGGAGAAAAGCTCAGGTAGTGTAACTTTCCTCCCGGCTTCTCCTCTGAGTCGCCTCTTCCTGAAATGTCATCTCGGCAAAGCTGGGCCGGTTTGGAAGGAAACCATCTCCAGATGGTTGCTGAGGTGGCCGGCAGGTAGCCCCATTTTAACCACAAAACAAGCTGGCCAAGAAAAAAAGTCTCGAGTGTATTCCTCGTTTGCAGCTCGAAATGAATCTCTTGGTTTTTTTTTTTCCTCTCATTTGCAGGCATGACCAAGCGAACGTACGTGGAAGCTGTCCTTGAGGGCATCAAGCAGTGTCAGGAAGAGGGATTGGATATAGATGTAAGGTAAGTTGGGGCCTCCAGGATTCCGAGTTCTCAAGAGCCCAGATTCATATCGCAAAATTGTTCGTTTGGGGCCCCCAGGATGTGACCCCAGGATGTGTTTTCTCAGTGACTATGGCTGAATCGTAGCTTACCCCACGATGCCAAGTCTACCAGTTTATAACACCAAATTCCAAGCAGAGACTGGATGGACTCCAAAAAAAGACATCTCCATATTCCTTTTCCACCAGTGAAATAATTGCATTGTTTTTCATCTCTGTTTGCTTTTTAAAAAAAACAAACATGGTCAACTAAAAAATACTCCTTTGGTCTTTTTAGTTGCCGGCAGAAAGGGAGTGGAAGGGAAAGCAGTACATTCCTTAAATGCTTCAGATAATCGCCTTGGCAGCCGAAGCTGTTGGCGCGCAAGATTATTACTGGAGAGCATGATTGATGATTCTTAGCTATGGATGTGTCCCATTGGAGGATATACACCCAGGGGGTTGGAGGAAGACCAGGGTCAAGGGGCAAATGAATGATGTATTTTTGTGTCGGCTGCAACCAGGAAACAGCCGACATGTTAACTCCTAATAAATCAACTTTTTTTACCCCGAGAGACGCGGCTAGAGACTTGTGATTTGAATGGGGGTGTATGTTGGAGCCTTGACACCCATTTAACTATTTATCGTCGGTCCAAAACGCACTTGCCTCTGAAATGTTCAGAAATGGATTCAGTTTTTAAGTTTAAAACGTCCCCGCTTCCTTGCTGCTAGCAATTCCTGGTTTTTCCAAGTTCCCAGGGAGTTTTAAATGTTCCAGATTTCTCGTATCTGTGGACAGAAGCAAGGGGGCAGTGACTGCCAAGGAAACCGTCAAGCTGGCGGGAGACTTCCTGCTGTCCACCAATGGTGTGGTCCTTGGTCTGGACCTCAGCGGGAATCCGAAAGTAAGTTTTTCTCAGAAAGTAAAATCTTAACAGATGGGTGGGGTTTTTTTGGGGGGGGGGGGGGAATGGGTCTGTCAGATAATTATTTTATGGGATTGTATTTGCTCTCCTTTTCCTGTCCTGAAGGCGGGGCATGGCCAGGACTTCTTGGAGCCTCTTCTGGAAGCCAAGAAAGCTGGTTTGAAGTTGACGTTGCATCTTTCAGAGGTAACGCTCGGATGCTGGCTGGCTGGGTCAGTGGCGATAAGGTTTCTTAAGGTTCATTAAATGGGTTTGAGCACCGGGCTGGTCTCCTCGAGCAAGGTCTGTGCTTGATAGGGTCGCATCTGTACATGGAGAGAGGTCACCAGGGCATCTTCTAGTTGGTGGACAAGATCGAGAAGTAGATGATCTTGGAAGAAGGCAAGGAATAGGTCACAGTGCCTAGTACTGATGTTGCTTCCTAGCTGGGTCATGAAACGTCTGCAAGACAACCAACCAAGCTCAGAGGGCACCAAGAACCCCACAGTTTGCCGCCTCTTCCTCCTCCCCCTCCCCCAACAAACCCAACTCCCTTCTAGCGCTGATGAAGTTATCTAGTTGGGTAATAAAACGTCTGCAAGAAAATAGCCAAGCTCAGAGAGCACCAAAGAGGCCACAGTCCTCCTATACTTCCTCTTCCTCCTCCGTTTCCTCCTTCCATTTCCTCCTCCTCCTCTTCCTCCCCCCAAACAAACCCAAATCCCATCCAGCACTGATGAAGTTACCTAGATGGATAATGAAACGTCTGCAAGAAAACCACCAAGCTCAGACAGCACCAAGGATCCCATAATCCTCCTATACTTCCTCCTCCTCCATTTCCTCCTCTTCCATTTCCTCCTCCTCCAACAAACCCAACTCCCTTCTAGCACTGATGATGTTACCTAGCTGGGTCGTGAAACGTCTGCAAGACAACAACCAAACTCAGACAGCACCAAGAACCCCACAGTTCTCCTCCTCCCGCTCCTCCTCTTCCTCCTCCCCCCCCCCCCCCCCCCCAAACAAACCCAACTCCCTTCTAGCACTGATGATGTTACCTAGCTGGGTCATGAAACCCCACAACACGTCTTTGATTTCCAGATCCCAGAACAGGAGGAGGAAACCCGGCTGCTTCTGGGTCTTTGCCCGGACCGCATCGGACACGGGACGTTCCTTCATACCTCCGAATTGGCCACACGGGACCTGGTGGAGCTGGTGAGGCGAAACAGGACCCCTCTAGGCAAGGAAGGGCTTGGGGCGGAAGCTGGACGATGGGCGGTGGGTCGGCCTGGGATGATGGAACTGCAGTCCACCACTTCTGCTGGGGCAGCCTGGCGTCCTGTGCTCAGGAACAGCCCGGTTAGTGGTCGCTTTGGGGTAGGTGGAGCCTTTTTTAAAGTTTGAAACGATGGCATTGCTGGCTGGGGAATTCTGGGAGTTGAAGTCCATCCACCTGAAAGCTGCCGAAGTTGAGTGACCCCTGAACTAAACCGGCTTTGATTTTTTATTTTTTTTTAACCCCACCTGTTTTTGTGGGTGGGCTTCATCCTGTCCCGGTTTGTCCTCTCAGAACTCTGCCTGACCTCCAACCTGAAAGCCGAGACGGTGCCCTCCAAGGCCCAACACCATTTCGGATTCTGGTACCGCCTGGGTCATCCCGTGGTCCTTTGTGTAAGGTGCTTCGGATTCTCCTGGGGGGGCGGGGGGGACAGAGAAGGATCCCACTTTTTAAATAATGCTACGGGCCCCGCGTGGCTGTCCTAGTCCTTAAGAAAAAGCCCCAGAAGTTTGCTTGAGGGCTCCTGGGCGCTCTCTGAGCTTGGTGGTTTTCCTTGGCAGACGTTTCATGACCCCAACTAGGTAACATCCTCAGCGCTAAGGATGGCTGGCACTAATGAGCCCTGGTGATGTTACCTAGTTGGGGTCATGAAACGTCTCCAAGGAAAACCACCAAGCTCAGAGAGCACCACAGTCCTTCCTCCCACTCTGCCAACCTCTTCCCCTTCTAGCACTGATGGTGTTCCCTAGTGGGGTCATGAAACATCTTCAGGACAATCACCAAGCTCAGAGAACACTTAAGGCCCACAGTC